TCATTTCTTACCTTATCTAACAACTGCTTATATGTAGGTAACAATATCTGAGTCGAATGTTCTGAAAAACTACGTTTAATCATCTCTTCGACGCGTAAATTTTCAGCACGTAGAAGGCAAAGAATCATGTTATATCTAAGACGAAATTGAGATTTCAATTTTTCTGGAGGATCCAGAATCATCCGCTTAAGAACCGACGGCTATAAATGATATTGATTCGTATAAGAACATATAATATACATTTTTACCATAGTAATACTTTCATATGAGTGGCTATTAATTACTATTTAATTATATATTTATGTAGTTTATCGCTGTTTTCGAAATGATTGAAAATGGAATATTTTTTTTTTAGCGTACACTCGTATACTCGATTACCTTAGCACGTTGATTTAAGATCGATGTTCGATTTTATGTAATTGTTCTGAACAATTACACATTGATCTTCAACCAACATGCTAAGGTAATCGAGCGTATGAGTGTACGAGTGTACGCTAAAAAAAATTATTCCATCTTCAATCATTTCGAAAACAGCGATAAAGTACTTTTTCGAAAAATAAAACTAAATATAATAAAAAAGAGGCACATAGGAATTGTTATTGGATTATAGGCTACATTAATAAATATTAATTATCTGATAAGGCAGAATAATAATAACTTCCTTTTACTCAATTTGCAAGTAATGACTTTCCTAAATGACAGATTGATCTTAGTAATGGAATCCCATAACTGAGATAAAACTTTCTACGTGCCCCTTTTTTATTTTTTTTGTTATACTTAGTTTTAATTTCTTAAAGCGCGCTTTAAACTGTATAAATGGTGCATAAATGAATAGATATTAACCAATCATATTAAGTCCCTTTTGATTCTATAGAAAGATAACTCTATATACGTATAGACTAATATTATTTTCTAAATGCACACGCTGATTTAGCATCAAGCTTTAATTTTTCTAAAAGAGCGCTCTTAAAGAATGTATACTTTGTCTTATTTATTCATACGATCAGAGGATGCAATCAGCGAAGTTCTCTTTAATTATTAACTTACGCTAGGTGCTTCGTCTTCTGTACATGCTATTATTACTACTCCGGTCTTGTCTTTTCCACGGCGACCTGCACGTCCGGACATTTGTGTATATTCACCTGAGATATGAACTTTGATGAGTAAAGATAAAAAATATAATAAAATGATTATACAAATTGCATTGATTTTTAACCTGGATTTAGTTCCCTTAGTGCTTTACCATCGTGCTTTTTAATTCCAGAATAAACCACTGCTCGTGCAGGCATATTAACACCCTTAAATGGCAATATCAAATGTAATAGATCTAAGTTTATGCATAAAATTCTTGAATGAAAAAGAAGTACAAACCATTGCAAAAGTTTCCGTTGCAAAAAGGACTTTCACTAGCCCTTTTTCAAATAATATTTCGACCAACTAGATATAAAATTTTCTAAATATTAAACTAAAATAATTACGTATATATAAAAGATAGTTCTGTATAAACCTCTTTAATTATTGGAAGTAATCCCCCATGATGTATTGCAATTCCTCTTTTCAGTAAATCACTTATAGTTAATACTTGTGGTAACTTTCTATCTGATCCTACACACATAGACGATAGCAATTAAGTTTGATGTGTTTGTATCATAGTAAACCAAAATTTAAAACTAACCTTGCAATCGTGTTAGACTCTTTTCGATGGTTGTATGAATCAGGCTTTTTTCACGTGCAGCACAAAGGTCTAAATTGGTTAAGAAATTTGCGTATTCATTACATCTTTTTTTGGAGAAAACAAAAATGACAACGGGAATAAGCTCTTTCTTTTTGAGGAGACCAATAAGATTACTCCATAAGCTTTTATCCTAAATGAGTTAATAGTTGACAATTTTAATTTCTTAATTTACTAAGTTAGCATTCCCATGATATTGTAAATCAAAAACTAACAAAAAAAAATAAAAAAAAAAAACAAAAAAAAAAGGTATTACCTGTTGAAATGAGCGATAACTTCCTCCGCCACCACCTCTATATCCACGAGCCGCTCCTCGAGCACCGCGCGTGCCTACCCTAGAATCCTTTTCTTTCTTATCTTTTTTTGACAGTATGTCGTTAACCTGTTTCCAACTAAAATAGCGTATTAATTTTATGAATACAAATGCATTTTAACATACTAGAGGAAATAACTCACGTTGCATCTGAAAAATTTTTTTTTTCATCTACAATTTTGTAAATCTCTTTATTCGCATACAAATAATGCTCAAGTGGTACGGGTCGTTTGAGTGTTTTGATCACGTAAATGTTTTTCTTTTTTGTTCGACTATAATAAATGATATCATTAATATGGGAAATTAATTCATTGGCTGATGCTGAAAATTTGACCTATCCTATTATAAAATTGTAAAATTTTTGGTCCTTTTTTGTAGTCTTTTTTTTTTATAGTTAGGTTAGGAGAGTCGTTAATGAAAGAGTATACGTGAATTTTAATAGGTATTATAGATTTAAATGAGGATCCTTGGTTTCAGCATCAGCTAATTTTAGTATAAGCCACCACAGTTCATAACACATGAAGAATAGTTTACAAACCCAATCCATTCAGCAAATTCCTCAGTATTTGGAACAGTTGCTGATAAAAGAACTAGACGAACATGAGGAGGAAGCATAATGATGACTTCTTCCCAAACAACACCACGCTTTAAATTATATAATGAACATTTTAAATTTTGGTATTAAAATTTTGAAGCAAATACATCACGGTAAACGAATTTAAAATTACCTCCGAATCATTTACATAGTGTACTTCATCGAATATCACAAACTCAATTTCTTTGATTAGATCGGCGCCTCTATATAACATGGACCGAAGGATTTCAGTGGTCATGATCAAACAAGAGGCTTCGGGCTTGATCTGTATATCACCGGTAAGAATTCCAACATCCTTAAAAGTCTTTTTAAAGTCATAGAACTTTTGGTTAGATAACGCTTTAATCGGAGAAGTGTAAATTGCACTATAAAGATAATAATAATAAATGTTAGTTAAATCATTAAAGAAAAAAAAAACAATATTAGTCTTTATTTTACCGTGTCATACGCTTGGCTGAAAGGGCGATAGCATATTCTGCAACGACAGTTTTTCCAGCCGATGTGTGTGCAGCTACAAATACGGAATCACCCCTTTCAAGACGATATATTGCTTGCTTTTGAAAAACATCCAACTCAAATGCGTACTATTAAATAAAGAAAAAAGGCATTAAGAAAAATGAAATCAGAATAAAAAATACAAAGACTTGAATTAGATACTTCGCGCGCCATTTCTGGTACTAAGTCTTTAAAATTAGGAAGATCATCGTTGATATTGACAACATGAGCCCATTTGCGATTACTGGTATTACTTGTTGATTTAGTTGGCACATTTGAACCCTCAAGAAGTGGAGGCTAAGAAAAATATTTTAATAATTAATGGTATGGTGAAATCGATAGAATCCAGGTCAATAATTTTTACATATTAAAAATTTTTCAACTTTAAACATGAATAGTTTGACAATTATTTAACCAATTTTGATGCTTTAGAAGTTTCGTTAATTGTACAAACTTATAGAATTAAAGAGGTCTAAATTACCAAGATTGGTTAAGCTATTATAAGCTATTACTAATTTATGTTTAAAGTTTGGAAAATTTTAATAAAAACAATTGGCCTGGATAATGTCGACTTCCCTATGTAGATGAACACATACTTGCGTAGGTAAAAAGCTATCGAAAACTTTTTCCAT